TCCCTTGGACAGCAAGGCGATCAAACTGGTCAGTCCTAGAGGAGATCAACCCTGACTGCTCTTTAGAAGGCCAGATACTGAAGATGAAACTCAAATACTTTGGCCTGAGAAGGAAGGACTCCCTGGAGAGGAGCTTAATGCTGGGAACAATAGTTGGCAAAAGAAGAAGGGGACGGCAGAGGATGAGGTGGCTAGATGGAGTCACTGAAGCAGTTGGTGTGAGCTTGAGTGGACTCTGGGGGATGGTGGAGGACAGGAAGGCCTGGAGGAATGTTGTCCATGGGATCATGATGGGTCGGACACAACTTCACAACTAAGAACAACAACAACAATGCCTGGAAAGTAAAAGTTGAGAACATTCAGAAAAACTCATCCACTGGCAAGAGTACAATAATTCTAAACTGACTTAAAATTACCAACCTGTCTACTTTTCTACCTAAGGAAAGCTGTGATGTCTCTGCTTCTTTCTTAGCTCATAAAATGCTGCTAGGGCAGAGTATGTAGTGAATTCCTACATCTTACATTTGCTTCCATTAGTGTCAATACACTAGTGTAACGATTCTGCTGCTTGCCATAACCCCTTTAACTTTTTGTGAATGTGTCATATTCAATACGTTTCATTCTGCTTGTGTAAACTGTTGCACAAATGTATTCCCAAGTCATTACAACTTCATTGTGCTAGTGGAACACACCACTTCTTTCATTTCCTCTTTCAGCATTACATTGGAGCTAACTCTACATTTCCAAGGCCACTTGTGCATGCTGGGAGCCAGTGGAATGTACCCTTCAAGTTTCTCTAAAATGGAATCCAGTCTTATGGCTGAAGAATGTAATGATGGGAGAAGAAGAAGGTGGAAAATGGAGACCCTCCACCTGCAATCTATGATAGTGGAAGAGAAACCACAGTAGCAAGATAAAGGAGGTGGTGGAGATACAGATGAAAATTTGAGCTGGAGAAGAACTCAGGGATTTTATTGAGAAGCAAACATTACAGTGGAGGCTCCTTATTTCTCTCCTTATTTCTCTCATAATCCCTTTCCTGCTGAGTACGTATGCATGGGCTTGCTATTGGGAAAGCTATCTGAAGCACTGCAGAGTGATTCAGTTGGCCTTACTTTTGAATGGACACCCAGAGGCCTGACCTACTTATTTGCTCATGCTTATTTTGGGCTTGAGCTGCTTTACAAAGGAATTTCAAGGCTACTTTTTCAGCCTTTCCTACTTTGCCTGGGCCCCCATTGCAATGTGGCCTCTGAGAGCTTCTCCGATCAGTGTAGTCCTTGAGCTGAAAAGAAAAAATTGCAACTTCATCAGCATCTCTAATTTTATACATCCCTGAAAACTTAGTATGTGCTGGCATTGTTAAAGTGCCCGACATGTTTGTTTGTTTGTCAGCACTTCACAGAAGACTTGCTAGAATTGTAACAATCTCTATTCCACTTCCTACCTCACAGGATCTTTGCAGTCCTGACTGGCGACTTGTCACTGGGATTTTTACATAGCTCACATACCTGTCTCATTAGCAGTTGGGTTAAGGATTCAGTGTTGAATACCCTGGTTATAGCCGCATATTATGGTAGCTCCATATAATAATGAATATCTGAATACTCCAGGCATGTAACGAGGCATTTGGGCTAGTTGCAGAGCCATCAAACAGCTTCACTTTCTCTTATTATATACACTTATTATTAGAGATGTGAAGGCAAGGAGTGGGACACAGAAAAATCCAACTTCCCATTTATTTCCTGAAGCCATTGGCACAAAAAATTGATTATGGATTACTTACTTGCTGAATAAAATGAACGTTTCAGACTAGGTGTTCATATATTTACTGGCCCAAAATGTTTCCTAAAAACTATGTAGTATTTGTTTAGGTAAGACTATCTACATCATCACAGCATTATAACACTTGCACACCAAAGACAAGTAAAGTGAGACTGCAGCTCCTAAAGGTAAAAACAATATGCATTTCTGTCTCTAAGGGAACTGCTATTGCCACAAGAGAAAGTAGCTTTGACTTTCTCCTATGCCTCTGGGCTTGCTCTTCTTGGTATAGTTAGTGAAACTGTTCCTCCACTCTTAACTAGGCTCCAAAGGACTAGAAGAAAGTACAGAGCAACAAAAAGGAGCTGAAATTATATTCAAAAGTGTTTAAATTTACACAAATTCAGAAAATTGACCATATTGAAATGCACTAGTTTACCCTCATGTGAATTATAATTTGACTGCTACTAATTAAATGCTTTGATGCAACCTGCCTCCACCATAGTCAAGTATTTTCTATTTAGTTGGCCACTAAATGGTTTCCCCTGATCTCTGCATTTAGCATACAAAGGCCAAACCAAGTTATACATAATCTTATGTATAAGATTATGTATGCATAATCTTATACATATGCATCTTATGTTCCTATAGTAACAAAGTGACTTTCAATCTGTAACTGGTACTAACTGGTACTAATTCTGCATTTCTTTAAAAAAAATCTAAAATGTTCCAGTTTTCCTAGGAAAAGTGCAGTTTTCCCTCATGGCTTCAAAATTTCCAAAATTTTCCTTATATGCTCTTTATTCTAATGTTTCTGAAAGAGATGGATATGTGTGCATAGATGAATACGTGTATAATAGAATTAGTGATGGAGAATGCAAACTACAATTCCATGTAACAAGAAGAGGATTATAGTCTGTCTTTGACAGTTTTCAATGTTATTATTAGCTGTTTTAATTACACCTTTGAGAATCTGTTCAAGTGCCATAAGAACAATGAACTCCCATTTAAACTCCCCTTGTTCCGGGTCTTTTTCAGCAGATGAAGAAAATAAATGCAAAATAATATCCATTTTTTCAGAATAATGAGTCACTGGGACAAAATCATCCTACTATTCAGGTACATTAATAATTTTCAGTTCAGGTTATACAGTAGATATTGCAGAAGAAGAGGTTGGTAGATCAGAAAAGTGTCATAATTAAAAATGCACTTTGTATAATCATATTCAAGTCCCTTGTTAGCCCTTGTTATGCAAATTAAGATATTCACAGTATTATGGCTGCATTGCATTTGAATCACATACTGGAAATGGAAGCAAAATATTAGTGGTCTTCAGAACTTTATATGAATAATAAGGTTATCTAGTGTGCCTTAATAATTATGTTGTCTTTGGTCACATACTTCTTGTACATCTAGAAAATCAATGAAAATATTATTTTAAAAGGAGTTATGCTGGACTAGTTTAGGAAATTAAGAAGTAATTAAAATATTATTATTTCCGTTAAAGGAATTTCTGTTTTTGTGTTGCCACAAGTGAATATTCTGAGTTCACACAATTTCTTTGGAAATTAGGTGTGGTGTTTCTGCAGTTAGCTTTAAAACAAAATTAATTTATTAACCCCAGCCTTTTACTCCCTGACTTCATAAAAGCATTCATATCTGTGGAACAGAATAAAAGATATTTGAAATAACAAAGGTATATTTTAAAAAAATATACTTAGTGCTAAGCATTTGGCTTCTGCCCTCATCAGCAGTTGCAATATTAAACAAAGTGCAATAATGCAAGACTGGCAGTTTGGAATATGGAAAATGAAAATTCCTAAGAATAAAACAAAAGCATATGTAGTATAAAGCTTATTAAACCTTCTCCAGGTTAAAGCCATACAGACATAGAATTGTTGAGTCTGTAGATGCAGAAGTTCTACTTTCTGACACACATGTTGCCCTTCTTTGTTCAGCTGGAAGTAACTTTAAGTTTGAGGGACTGAGTACACATGAATTGAAATGTCATGCAACAAACTGCACCAGTTTTCCTTTTAGTAAAAATTGTAGATTTGTGGTCTCATAATCTTGTTCTTAGGTCCTGTGTCTTTTCTGAAATATTGCATACAACATTCATTTATTATTTTTTACATTCATTAGTGGAGGCGCATGTTACTGATTGATTGGGTTCATTCTGGGTGGCAAGTTTGCTGTGTCGTACAAAACTGGATCATCTCCTGCAGCATGGCTTGCTCATGGCTTGGTCTAGGCTTGAATCCATAATGGGTTGTCCTGTCATCTGAACCCAGGCAACTGAACCCATTGTAAGTACTCTGTTGAGAAAGCTTCTTGTCAAGAGTAGCAAAACTCTCCTTTAAAGGTCACTCCCAGTGACAGCCATCCCAAATGTGCTTGAGTGGTACTTTAGGCATCACTAGTTTGGTGATCTCTGCCACAACTGCAAACCATGACTCACTGTGGTGGCTCCCCCCCCCCCCCACTGTGCTTTTCCTTGGTGATCATGGATAGCGATATCCATACTGACAGTTCTTCAAAGTACACAAGCAACACGTTGGATGATCATCGGTTGGCTACATCCCAATTGATACAAGTATTTGTATTTTTAAAAAAAATCTAGTTGGACTTGTGCAAGAGGTATAAGATGAGTGGCCTTGTTTGTGTAATTAGTCTTTCTGGATCAATATCTGTAGAAAGTATTTCAGTTTGACAGCTTATACCTGTCAAGACATTGTCCAAGCAAGACTGCCTATTCTGGACCTGTATAAGCACACAATTTCAACCAGAAGCATTAAGAATTATCCAAAAAAGCACATTTGGGCACTTTAAAAAACATGGCCCAGCAATAATAGTTCCTCAAGTGTGCTGTCAGTTCAGAGTGTTCTGCTCATGATCTTTGGAAACAATGTCTGGACAGGATAGAACCAGCAGAGAGATTAAAAGGATTCATGATCATGGTGGGATAAGAGGATGCAAGTTGGTCCTGCTGTGGAGCCCCCCATGCAAACCTGCACACTGTCAAAGCAATACATATTGTTAGTAGCTATTTTCTTCATAAAAGTGTTTAACTGAAGATATATATAATCTGTGATGTGTTTGCTTATACTATATATGGTATATTATCTGTACAATGCAAAGAGGAGCAGAACATGGAAGACAAATTAACTTGTTCAACTTGGTTAACTATAGTCAATGAATATGGAAGAGAGCATGTAAAGAAAGAACCCATCTACACATTAGTAACCAATTCATTTTTATTAGAGCAAATACAGTTATGAAAACTGTACATTATCTCTTTTGGGTTCCAGAATTATAAATAAAGAATCTCGTTAGATAAAGAGTTCATTCACAGCAAGAAATTTTAAATAGACAAAGTGACGTGTCATTAAGTACATTGGCAGACTCATGTGCTGTCCAAAATGTAGTGTACAATATACAACCAACTATAAATAGCCTTTTATGTAAAATACAGCTGTGCACATTTTAGAAAAATACCAACAATTTCTGATTCAAGCTTTGTTTTTAGAAAAGCTTACAAATCATACATATTTATAAATGGAACCAACATGCTTAAATTTATAAACATTTTCAAAAGCTATTTTTAAAGATTTTTAAATACACATGAAACAATATTTGAGTGTCAGTTACAAAATTAGTTTAAGCAATTGGGCTAAACAGTAGATAAGAAAAAGTGTTTATATAGGACAATTAAAAACCCTGATTCTCAAATTATGTTTCTAAATTTAGAATTAGCACATGTTTTACCTTCCTTAAGAAATAAGCATATATAAGTTGTTAAATTTTCATTTTCTGTCTTTCTGCTTTCTTCTTGAATCCACACTGATCAAAACACAGGATTCTCAACCCACTTCTGCAAAAAATGTCATTCTGTTACTGTCCTGCATTGAAGTGCTCCAGGCTACAATTCCATACTTGTGGCAGGCTGCTTCTTATAGTGGCTAATGTAGTTATGAGAAAACTTCTCTATTAAACCATGCAAATAATAATAATAATAATAATAATAATAATAATAATTTACAAAGAGGAGTAAAACCTGGAAAAATGTTTTCTAAAAGATAAAAACTAAACAAAACCCAAGCCCTTTACTCTTCATTTCTAATTAAAATGCTGACTTTCAAAATGATCACTCCATGTACAATTTTGCTCTAAGTAAACAAGCATGCTTTTCAGTATTATGGAATACAGTAACTACAGTGGGGAGGGGAAAAGCATGGATCACATCATCAAAACACAGGACTGTAAATCTTGTTAAGGAAAACAGTCCAAATGAAAGTTTGAGGCTGAAGTTTTAACAGGCTGAGGTAAGATTACAGATTCATTATAATAAAATTAAAGGCATCAAACTGATAATCAGTCATTGTTAACAGACTTAAATGCTCTACCTGAATGTATTCAACATGACACTTGACCTTTAAAAACATTATTTATTATAAGTTTATTCAACGGTTTCCATTGTGCAATCAGGAAATATTGTAAATGTCAAAATTTACTTCAATATTGAGATAAGATGTAGATAGATCACTGCATGGCACAACACCTCTCAAACATTATACCTCGCTCATCCAATATGCTGATACAGCCTAATGAACCTTGCAGCACTTAAAATAGTTTTGTTTGCCACTTTCACAAGGAAGATACAAATGATGGCTTTAAACATTGTTGCATATTTGCCTGCAAACCCTGAAGAGGAAAATGACTTAACCTGGTTAGGTTTAAAAAGTGTTATGAATAAATTAATCTTTCCAAGAAGTGAACTGTACTACACATATGCTCTAAGTCTTGATTTTGTTTTTCTAATGCAGTGTGAAAACTAGTGAAGTTTTCCAGGCTGGTCTACATTATTATATTATAGCTGTACATAGGTTTAAAATAAATGAACAGAATCATGCATAAGCAAATGAAACACAATCTCCCAGAAAATGGCAAAGAGATTTTAAAAGCAGCAAGTAATGGAATAAGACTGGTGAGTGATGCTGCTAACTATTTCTTCTAATGAGATAGGAGTGAATACTGGAATCGCTTCCACAGCAACAGAATCCTCTGACCACATTCCTCTGGCAGTCGCTTTCCCATCTCCCCCACCAAAAACATCAGACGGCAAAATAGTAAGGCAGCTGTTAGCTTCCATCAGCAAAAGTGCAGCTCCGTACATTTCCAGTTTAGTCACACTCTCTGCTGGAACAGATGGAATGAGCAACACACTTTACTTGTTGGGCTGCTTCAGCAAGTTTATGTGTGTGCGGGCGTGTTTTTTCCCCCAACATGGCTGCTTGCTTCAGCTTTCAGAGGACCTCAAAGCCCCTTGGCTGAGTATTCCAAGTTTCATCTCTCTTGTGTCCCATCCTAATTCCATGCCTCCTTCCTGCGTCTGAACATGACTCGTGCCATTTAAAAGGCTGATGACACAACTGCCGAGAACTGTGGGCTTACGCCACTAGTTGTCATGACTTCACTGAAGGATCAAAACAGTTATATCATTAAGTAACTATGTTGAATCACATTCAGGCATAGCTAAAATTAAAGTGATGAAACATTGACATTCGTAAATAATAGAGTTTTGCAGTTTGAAATAGAAACAATTAAACTAAGACTGGGAAGAATAGAATTTTTATGTGAAACACAAGACCATTCTTACCTTTTCCAATTCCAATCAAGTTAGAAAATGGACAAAAAGAATGGCTAAACCAATATTCAACAGCATTACAAGGGCAATCATGATTGAATTAGGACCCTGCAATTGAAATAAAATGGGTTTGATTACATTCACAAAAACTAAGATAACAAATGCCATCTTTGACATTAAGTTGCTTCCTAATTATGTTATAAAAGCAAAACCAGAACTGAATGTCTCCCTCTCTGCAGTTCTTTAAACACCCAGCACAGTCTTCTTCTAAAATATAATAGACAAAGTAAACACAAATGATGCTATTGTATGGATTGTGCTGTTATTCCTAGAAATCCACTCAGGAAATGGAAAACAAAATAGCTAAATGGGTTGTATTCAGTGATACCCTTCCATCCATGGAACTGACGTGGCTGACAGAACAAATTTTCTGTTCTGCACATGCCCAAATTTGGAACTGGAAAGGACTAATATGCTGTATGTGAAAGGCTTCTGTTAATTATCTATTTTTGCTATAAATACATTTTGGAGGAAGCTGTATCTTGTAGCGAGTCTAATAAAATACAAAAAATGCCTGATGTTTGTTAGTACCACCATCAAACCAAAAATATAGAACCACTATAGAAGCTTCTTCTATAGAAGAAGCAAATGCTAACCCTTGCATAATATTAGTCAAGCTTCTCCTTTTATCTCATCTTTCCTGCATCTTTCTGCTTTGATATTATGGTATTGTAATGCAGGCACGTATACAAGTTTCAAGAAAACACAAACCAATCTTAATATTCACCTTAGCCTGAAATACAGTTACTTAGTGCCATTGTAATGACTGCAGTCCCAAGGAAGAGATTCTGCTCTATTTGCAGGCTATGCTCAGGGCATAGAAAATTGAAAAATAAAAAGGGTATCTTCCTTCTTGGTTTTAAAACCTGTTGGTGTCTAGAGATTTTGATTTAAGGTTACTTAAGGTTACTGAATCACCTGAACATTCTCAGAAATACATGGGTAACTATAATCCTGGCCTTCTTATGTGAATCATAAAGAAATGCTGGCCCTTATAATGCTGGGTTTATGAGGGACTAATAATGGATGCTTGGAATGGACTGAATATTTATGGCAATACAAAAGACTTTTTAACCTGCACTGATGTTAACTTATGTAAAGTCAAGAAATTTCATCTATATTATACACTTACCAAAGCTTCAGTTCAGCAAATGGAAAGAAACAGTAAAGCCATGTATTCCTTTGGAAAGGAAGGTTGTTCTCATGATTCAGATCAAAGACCTGAGTTTATTACTACCGTTCCTTTACAAAATTCTCAGGTATTTGGTTTGACATATACTTCTCCTTTGCTAAGAGCTGGAGCCCATGTTACAAACATTATAAAGAAACTCCCATACCAGAAGGTGACTGATACCAGCAAAGAAAATGACCTTCTAAATGGTGTTGATTATTGATGTAGTTATTTATTGATTTATTTCATTTCTATACCACCCAATTTTCTGTCCTGCACATGCTCCAAATTTGTTCCAGTTGGAGGACCTTGTGTAACAGCCTCAGCTTCTAGTCAGTTTAGAACAGAATGTTATGACTGTGTTGGTGACATAACATGACAAAGCCATCGCAGTATTCTTCATGTGATGCTCATAATGCATACTTCAAGCCAAGGTCTCAACTGATGAGAATTGCCAATATTTCGCTTTATGTGTAATTTAAGCCATTTGCAAAGGTAGCTGATTTGCCATCTTTTTAACACAATATGAATCCCAGCTTTGCTGGCAATATTATGGAAGTCAGTTTAGGAATCAAGTTCAAATGAAAAGATATTCTCTTCTTGGCCTTTTATTAGGAAGAAGGTAAATGAAACATTTTAAGGAATGGGAAAAAGACAGAGTGAGAGACTTAAGGAGTACTTCAGTGAACACCAAATAATTTCTTTGGAGTATGGTATGCTAAGAATGATCAACTAATGGCAGACAAAACTGCTCAACTCATGGAATTCAAAATGAGACTAATTCTATCTTTTAAAACCCTACTTGTGCCACTCTAAAAATGCTTTAGGGTGAAGCATCATAAATAAGGCCTTAGTACCCTGTGGCAGCTCAAAATAGAAAAAGCAAAATTAGTCTCTGCTTTCTGTGACTGATTTGAACAGGTGCTATAAGGAAGCTGTTTCAGAAAAGTTTTATGTATGCCTAGAATTGTCCTTATATAACAGAAGCTTAAGGCATACCAAAGAGAAAGAAAGAACTAATAAAATGCTTATATTGCTGTGCAATGGTATGATATAGCGGCTATCAAGGCATGACATATCAAGCTGTCAATTAGGTAAAGGCAGTATTAGTCCCTGTGCCATGAGTAATACAATTAAAAGGAAAAGCCGTTATTCAGTGGTCAACCCCCTGCTTTATTCCATGAAAAGAACACCATATGGCATGACTAAGAAAGACCCTGTCAGAGACACCAGACAGCTCCTAGCTCCGCAAAAATATAGTAACAGGTAGACCACAGGCAGGCCACCTTGTGCTATTCAGGTATTTTGGACAACTCCATAGTCAAGGACTACTGGAACTCTCATCCAAACTATCTGGGAGGCACCAGGTTGTTTTCCTCTGAGTTAGACAGAATTCTTGTCTCACTTAATACAAGGTATCATCTGACCTATCAAGTCCAATGATGTTTTAAATAAATAAAAAAAATATGTGATTTACTCACATTAGTGTAATTGAGAATTTGTCTTCAGAATTTATATAGCTTTAATGAGTTTGCACAGAGATTAATAAATATTTCATCACATGAGAAAACAAACAACCCCTCCAACCAATACCAAACCCCGCACACAATACTCCAAGGCTGCATATTCTGGTATGCCTGATTAATCTGTTAAACACCATCAGATTATATCTCCAATTACTTTGCAGTTCTCATTGTTGTAGAATGGCATGTTGGATGTTCTTTTTTTCTGAAAAGGCTAAGAGGTTGAATAAGGAAGTTATTTTGCCCCCTATGGCTTAAATGGTGCTGAAGATAATAGGAAAATCTGTAAGCTGTGTAATATAAAGTTCTGTGCCTACTAAAACTCTGAAATGACACATATCAGTTTGGAAGAAATTCTGATGCAAAAGAGATATTTCATGATACCCTGAAGAATGAAAGATTATTTTTCACTTTAAAGTAGGCCACATGTAAAATAAATAATCACATTTGTAACACATTTCATCTTTTAATTTGGCAAGAAAATGTCCGAAATACGCATCTATCAGTTGAGATAATAAATCTTGGAAACTATAGCAATGCACTTAAATCTCTAACCTCTGACTGGAAATCTTAATGTTTACCCACTCTTCTTAATAATACTTGGTTGCATTGGTGTCATCAAGGCAAGTCTACTTAAAGTGCTCCAAGGTACAGAATTATACATTTTCTTCAGTAACAAAGGACCACTTCATAGGACTACTGTGCCAAATTGGATTGTTTCTGTTTAGTAAAACACCTTAAGATGCAATCTTAGGCATGTTCAGATGGGAAAAAGTTTTATATTTCCCAGCATGCTCCAGCTGGTTGGGAAATGTTGAGAACTGTACGATTTTTTTTTCTGTCTAAACATAGGATTGTACCTTTATATGCATGCATCATATATGTGCATGTGCGTGCATGCATGTCTATTACATAATACACACAATGAGTCATGTGTGATCTTCATGTTCCACAATGTACATATTTCTACCTCCACATGCTGTCATCTGTGAAGTAGCCACCCATTAAGTGCAATATACATCCATTTTCCCTTTCCTTGATGCTGCTAAATACTAAATAAAAAACAACATTGGCTTACTCTGAAGGTTTTATGCCCTGAAGCCCCCTTGACAATCTGCAGTCCTGGAGCAGCAACTCCTGGTTTCACTTGAACCAAAGATTTCTTTTTATATCCAAGAGGTTTATCTAAAGTCGTGGGTAGACAAAATCCTCAATAATTGCTAGTTTTCACTTTTGGATTCTTTGCTTTAATTGTGAAATAAGAGCTTTGTTGTTTTATTTCATCTACTGTTTGTTACGAAGTTTGCACTATCAGGGAGCCACAGTCACTTTTACCTTTCCAGCAAGTGTTACTTGTGATGTGCACATGCTTGTAAACACACATTTGTTAATAAATGATGTGTGCAATGTTTTATGTGTATGGATAAAAATGTAAAGGGAGAGTCTTCATTAGTGATCTTATAAATGGCATCAAAGTTTAATCTTTAATACACAGCATTTGTTTGTTTATATGGTAAAAATATAAATTATCCAATGATAATAGCAATGGTGCATGAATCATCCAAGACAATATGTGACAGGGTGTGTCTGAAAACAATAGCAGCCCTTTGTGCAGGCAGAAGATGTTATCTCTGGATAACAATCTTGTTAACCACCAAATCATGATTATGTAACTAATCTCTAGATTTGACTTATATGCAAGGTCTCATTTACTACTATTAATGAATGCTAGTTAAAGCATTAAAATGCTTTAAAGTTATGGAAGTTCCATGTGATGAGGAATATATATTGTGTGTTTCTTTCAGGGAATACTGGTGGGACACTGACATAGCCACAGCTAATGTAATTGCAATGAAAGTGTGAAGCAGTGGGAATCTTTTGGTTTCCTTTCAATCAGTCACAAAAGTTCTGTTGAAATAGCAATATTGCCTTTCTTCTACTTCTTGCAAATGGTGCTAAGAGGCGTGTTTGTACTGCTGTCCGTGTTTCATTACCAGTAGCTGTTCATTAGCTATTACAAGAGTGAGCCATTTATATATGGCTTTCTCCACTCTCCTGTCACAAGCTTGAAAGGCTTGGCACTATGTGGATGGGGCCAGTCATGCAGCTATTTCCCATCCAATTGTCAGCCTTGTCAGCCAAATGACAACTGAATGGAACAAGCCCACATGTAAGCCTGGTGCCACAAGGACAGGACCACTACAGTTGAGGTGGTAGTGTGTCATGTGCTATGGATGAATAGTTTTGCTGGTGCTTTGTGATGTACAATGAGCATCTAATGACATTAAGAAGCAACTCACTGGATCATGAAGGTGTTCTCAGGACACTTGCAGATGGCAGACATCCAGTGGCCACTACCAGTTGCAATCACAGGAAGTCCAACAGGAAAAACAGGTATTTATTTTATTTTATTTTTATTTATTTTTCAATTTATATCCTGCCTTTTTCCTCAAAGGACTCAAGGCAGCTTACATCATTCTCCTCCTCCATCTTATCCCCACAACAACAACCCTGTGAGGTAGGTTGGGCTGAGAGTCTGTGACTGGCCCAAAGTCACCCAGTTGGCTCCATGGCCGAGTGGGGACTCGAACCCAGATCGTCTGAGTTCCAGTCCCATGCTCTTAACCACTACACCACACTGGCTATTTCTGCTGTACCAAGTTTGGAAATGAAGGCAGAGGATTTACCATTACTGTCACTGCGCTGCTTGTGCTGTTTCTGATGGCCTGTTTTGGTTAGAATCACTTTGACTCTCATTGTGACTCTCATCTTGGTTGTAGATGTCAGGTATGCTGCTTCTGGAGGGAGAAGCTGTCTGGAAATGCCTATAACGTCACTTGTAAAAACAGTCTGGGATATCTGAGGGAAGTTCTGTCTCCATATATCCCCCCCAGAGCTCTAAGATTTTCTTCAGAGGTTCTTCTTCAAGAGCCATCCCCTAATAAAGTAGAGGGGGAAACGGCTAGGAGAAGGGCCTTCTCCATTATTGCATCCACTAACGGACTGCTCTCTCTAAGGAAGCATGCTTGGTGCCATCACTGCTTGCCTTTTGGTGCCAGGTAAAGACTTTTTCATTTAACACATGTTCTTATGTCACCTTGTGTGTTTTTTTTCTGTTAGTCTTGCTGCTTGCTCATTATGTTTCTTGCCATGAATATCAGCGTTTATATTTTATTTGGATTTTATACTTGTACTTTTGATTTTATTGCTCTGCTTTGACATTTTATTGCTTTTATTGTTGTTTACATAAGCCACCCAGAGAGCCACTTGGGCTATAGGGAGGCATATAAATATAATAAACAAACAAACAAAATCTACAATAACTATAGAAGTAGACATGGCATCCAAGGGCAAAATTACATGTTACTCTAATCATGCAGCTTATAGCTAAGGCTTGCCTGGCTTTTTAGTTTCATATAGGTGTGCCTCTAATTTGGATTAAGACTATCATGTTGTGAGGGGAGGGTAAATGTTTCTTCTTAGCAATTCTCCTCAACTCCGCTTCTTCTCATATGTGTGAAGTTTTAAAAGGAAAGCTTCTATTGGAGCCAGCTAATCAGGGGACCAGTATCAGAGGCAGTATGCCTAAGTGCACCAGCTGCTGGGGACCATAGGCATGTCACAAATGCATCCTACTTGAGGGTTCCTTGTGGACTGGAAGGAGCCCTGTCCTGGGCTAGCATGCCTCTTCTGAGACTCATAATGAGACTTCTTTTCCTGCAGCACCATGGACCCAATCTGAACTGATTCCAGAGGCACTTATGCGTGGATAAAAAAAAAAACAAACACAAGGCTTAACTACATGCTGCAGTGAGTGCAACATGAAACTGTGCTAATGTAGGATTATTTCCTCAAATTACTCTTTGAATTTTACCATGGTCCTTCAAAAACATGCAGATTTATTGAGATTTTGCTGTACAGTTCACTTCATTGACCCAGTTCACATGCAATTCACATATAAACATTCATGGCTTGTTTGAACCATGGTACCGGGATTGAGTGATTCAGCTGCTCCTGCCCACCTTTGTTTCTCACTTTAGTAAGCAATCCTCGAATGCCCTGTTCTTGGGCTGTACTCTGCGATCTGCAAAATTGGTGCTCTGGGTTGTTAATGAAATGCAATAATGAAATGAAATGTTGGTGAGAAACAACCCGGAGTTTTAACCTAGCAATGAACCACAGGTTGTTGGGCAGTTTACCTAAGTAAAAACTAAGTAAAAGTGACTGAGTATTTGTGGAGTGCCATGCTCACTCAGTCTCAGCAGCCCTGATGGAAGACTGTAAAAACAACCCACTGGGTTGCACAAGTCAGACTGGTATCACTTCTGAGGCTGATGCATTGGCAATTTGGAGAATTATATCATTTCATTGGCTTTTCTCATATTGATATTCAAGTTTGGTAAAAATGTATCTCTTTGGCTTGATGGAATCACATTGTGCACACAGCAGATAAACCTTTTCAAGATACATACTTAGTATCTTCTGTGTTCCATCTAGAGTTGCACAATACAACTTCCCTCTCCAAGCATTCATAAATTGTAATTACGGAGAGGCTGAAGAGCCATGCATGCTGGCCTTTTCCTCTCCAGTGCTCTCACATTGATCCAAATGTCTGCAGGGAAATTCCACCAAATTCAGCTGATACAGTCACACTTCCCCCTGCAATTGGGAATCCTATGGGACTGCAGGAAGGACCTTAATGTATGCAGCCAAACATGGTTACAATCTTCCTTCAGACATTCTAACTCAAACCAGGGAGACAGAGTGGAGCTGGCACACTAGTCTCCTTCACAGACACCATTATTAATAACTGCATATAAGGTGTATGAGGAATATTAAAAGTGCAGTGGAAGAACCACAAATGCCTGCCTTTTGGTTTCTTAGTATTATTAATTTATGGTGAGAGAAAGGGAGTGTTTGCTAAGCTGAATTATGTACACATTGCACACTTTCATACCTACCAAAGTAAGTTTTATGAGTAAAAATGCATGAGTAAATTTTATATGGATAATAATTTGATGTAAACCCCATGTAAAGTACATTAGTATTAGGCTTAAAGGGATTGCTGTTGAATGTAAACAGGGTGTCCCTGCATCTCAGAAAAGGGTTTTGCCATAAATGATATCAGAGTTAAATCTTAGGGAACAGTAGGGCACAAGGGCTCTATTTAGATTTAAACTGACTTTTTTTTTTCTTAAAAGATGTTCAGGCAGCAAAACACTGACAAAGATGCAAACTGCTGAAAATATGAAATACAGCAAGTGAATACTACCAGGTACATGAATATTCCCGGCTATTAAGATGCTGGCTTACCCAGGCAGAAAGATCTTGGAATATTTTTGCGCTTTTGACCCACAGTACCTACCAAATTGACTTCTCTTTCCACTGAAGAATAGAAGTTGTTATTAGCTGGATTCTTTGGTGAAACAGATTCAGGTTTCTTTAATAATTCTTTGGCATCTAATTGAATCCCAGATCGGTCAGGGCTTGGCTTCTGAGCTTTAACTAGTGCAAGTGCTGCAGACGATGGATTGGCATGGTCCTCATCTTCCCCAAGATCAAATGGATACACTGTTGGATTTGTTTTTACATAATAACCATGATAATGATCATGCAATTCTCCATTCTCTGTGCTGCTGGGATTGTTGTGGGGTGACAACTTTGGCTGGTGTTTTACCATCATTTCTTCCTTCACAGGCATTTTTGAATAAAGAGGTTTGTTGACTACTGGTGTTACTTTTTCACTGATAACATTCTTTTTTTCTTGAATGAGTTTGACTTCCGAGGTGGAGTTTTGCTTTTTGCCTTGTTTTGCAGGGGAAGGCTCTGCAGGGAGGAGGGGACTTTGTCGAGGGCTCTGTTCTGGAGTCCCAGGAGGTGTAGTGCCTTTCCGATAAAAGTGAGGTGATTCTTTTGGTGTCGGTGCTTTTTCCTGAGTTTTTTCATCAGGGCTTTCCTTAACTTCGGCACTTTCCTGAAATCGTTGTTTGATATAATCAGGACCTGAAATTTAGATACAAAGAAGCAAATCACACAGAGGATTTCTAGCAAATTACTGAAGCAAAGAAAAGAATATATTTTGCAGTTTGCATGACATACTTGTCCTCTTTTACTTTCTCTTTGCAGTTATGACTCCTTTTTTTTGGATTAATTCTCTTACCTTTTTTTCTTAATACATAAGAAAAAAAAGCAGAAGTGGTTATTGCTAATGAATTTATATTTGTGCCCTTTTTAATTCTAAAATGTAGTAAAAGCTTTTACTGATATCACAGATTTTTCCTCTTTTAGTGAAATTTATCAGTAAGCACATTTTGAAACCTTAATAAAAACTTGTATTACGATATGAAAGTAGTGAAAAGGATATGAAGGGAACTGGGGATTGCTACTCACACATGGACCAGAGACAGTGTTGTGGAAACTAATTTTGACATGATATTTATGCATGTGTGTGCTGACAACAACATTTCAGAAAGGGAGACCATGACTATAAAACGTTACATCAGGAGAGGCCTTCAAAGTAGTGAAAGCATGGAAATAGTGGCAACAGAATATAATTGTAATATCTTTGGTACTTTTAAATTGTTTCCAATAGTGAACAGGTAAACGTTTTACAGTAATGTGCAACACAGAGAAAAGTGCAAGGTCAGTTTTCCAGAAGCAATTTTCAGAATAAAATTTCATTACTGACAGTACTTTTTAAATTCCCTCCAGCTTTTCTGCATCTTTCCAGCATCTAATTCCATGCCAATAGGCATGCATATAGAAGGGACTATCACCTTGCCTCTCCATGATGTCCTGCGTTTGCATACACAGCCTAAAATAGCACTAGCACTTTTGCAGCTGTGTCACATTTCAAATACATGGGCTGACTCTGCAGTGTTTGGCAGTTCACTTCAATGGGTGTAGGATCATGTCGCTCATCTAATTTGCTGACTCCTATCATTTCCAAGTTTGTTTCACAGCAATATTTTTGATCAAGTTTCTTCCTTACTTTTGAGCATTACGCCTTCCTATTTCGTTAGGTAGATGTTTAAATTAAACTCTTCCACATTTACAACTACCAGTGTGAATGAAAAGAATTCTATTAGCATAAATACAACAGGAAATAAATTAATAAATCCTGTATAAAAATATCTCAGCACATTAAAAGGCCTGGATAAAAAAGGTTGCCTAGCACAAACGAGACATTGATGTTAGTGCTAGGTAGATGTCCATTTCTAGAAGTGGAATGTTGCAGAGAAGGACCCTAACTCCTAACCCACATCAACTTATAAGGCAAGGGTGATTCCACCCTTATAAATGTGCCATCCTTATTAAGCCAATCAAAAGATCACAAGAATTGTGCAATCGTCAGATCTCTCCATCTGGTAAAATGTTACACCCAATCAATTAATGTTATACCCAATCAATCTTCAGTGCTTCAAAAAATTGCCATCACAGAAATATAATGAAACCAAAACAGTATCTTCAAGGGTTTACCTATAGAAAGTTACAACTAGCATTGAAGAATAGAGGATGAAAAACATTTGACTTGATTTATAAAGTCACAGTGTCCCAAGATGAGTGAGGAGGAAGGTTCTGCAGACATTCAAATTAGGCCCTGCAAATCATGTGATGCTTACAGTCACATATGATTGCTGAAAGCCAGAAAGGGACACATGTTGGAGTTCTCATTTTAGAAATATGTAATTGTATTGTTATTCAGACTCATTTCCAGGCTGGAAGACCTATCCTGGCACATTTTGCCATCAGATTGCAGAGATAAAGTAGGCATCCTTTATATTAGCCACACTGGAGATAGTTTTAGACACTGCATTTAGATAGAGAGTGTCAATGGAAACCAAACAGACACCTTTACCTAGAAGCCGGTGCACAAGTGTTTGATGTAGGAATAGATGAGCCTTCAATTCCAAAGCCATGTAAAACCTCTATTGGAAACCTAAGTCCTTTGAGTTATGTTCAGATATAGTATAAGAAAATAGTCTGGAATGAGGTGCCCTCATGCTCCTTATTTCAACAGAAAGTCCTCTCAATTTTTCTCAAACTGGCATCCTTCAGAAAAACTCTGAAGAATGTGAATACAGTCATTGTTCTGTCTTTGCATCAGCATCAAATGAAAGACATATCAGTGTAACTTTAAACAGTTAAAGTCAACCCATGTATATGGTACATGTTCCTAGAATAGTCAGGTAACTGTTATCAAGCCATCTCAGTAACAGTAAAAGAAAATCTTCTCATAAAGAATTGAGACACCACCGTAGTTCCTTACCTATCTCTTTTTGCAGTGTAGCATAGTATGGATCGAAGCTTTCTACACAAACATTGATCCAGAAGAAAGAATGCACTTCCAGACTGCATCCGGCCACCAGATAAAAACTATTCAGAATAGTGTGACTACAGCATTTGGCATGCCCTATTCACTGCATTTGTCTTCTCAAGAAATGCAGGCTATTATGTTAAGTTCCAGGCTTGCTTCTAATCTGGTTAAACTTTACGTGTGTGTGTGACTTTTTCAAATATATGTATTTATATATAAACAACCAGTCATTCCATCTGATACCTGAAGGAGCGCTTGCATCCATAAATGCCCAGCCGCCCCTTGAGATCGGCGAGGGAGGCCCTTCTCCGGGAACCCTCCATGAAAGAAATTAGGAGGGTGGGTACTCGGAGGAGGGCTTTCTCTGCGGTGGCACCTAAGTTATGGAACACGCTCCCCAGAGAGGTCCGCCAGGCGCCGTCGTTATTTGTTTTTCGGCGCCAGGCGAAGACCTTTTTATTCAAGCGGCATTTTAACTGTTAATATTATTGGATTTTATCTGGCCAGGGCGGCTTATTTTATACTGTATTTTTGTATTTTTAATTTAATGTTTATATTTTGATTTATATTATAATTATTTTAACTTACTGTTGTAAGCCGCCCCGAGGCTTCGGCGAATGGGGCGGCATAAAAATGTTTTAATAAATAAATAAATAAAATATTGCTAAAGATGCTAGCAATATCTAGCATCTGTGTTGGATGGCTTTAATTATATTTCTAAGTCAAATTTGAAACTATTCCTGGAAAGGGGGGTACACAGGATTGCCATGTTAAATAAATTAAAATACAGTACATTCTAGGGTTGATTAAAGGGATGGCTGGCAAGTCACTGCTGTATTTCTACTTCATTAAATGCCATGGAATCATTATAATTATAAGCAGAATGAATACTAATAATAGTTAATAGCATCTGAAAAATATTTTTGATAAACTTTCCCAGCGTGAGGCTGTGGTGATACCTAAATTGATATTGGTTCAGAAGTCAGTATGATCATGAATTCAACACTGGCAAAATGACAGCAAACAAACAATAGTGATAAATGGCCAATATTTCATCATAGAAAAAGGATAAAAAGCCACAAAAAAGGCAGGCTTTGGGAGCATAAGGGAAGGAGACAGGCTCTGCCAGCATACAAAGTATCCAGGTGGCACCTGGTGATCTAAGCTTCCATGATTCTCCCACTATGAACAGAATGTCCATAATCATCCAAGTCTGGAATGCTACACAATTCTTTGAACTGTGTTCTAAATGAACGTGCAAGCTTCTTCGTAAATTATAAGACATATGACCACTTATTATCACTTCCATAGCAACATTCAATTGGACAAGAATTTATGACATGTTGTAAACACCCACCCCCCACCAAAAAAGGCAAAGCATAAACAAGGCTAAGGTGTCAAACTACTTTTGGCAGAAAGACCACACTGTTCTATCTACAAATGTTTTCTCTTACAATCAGTGCCAGATTCAGGTTTTTGAGGGCCCTCAGAGAAGATACCCTTGAAGGGCCTACTCCCTCAGTGTACCTTCTCACTCATCATCACGAGCTGCTATTGCTCCTCTTTGTAATTTTCATCAGTTCTATCATAGCAGAGAGCCAGTGAGCAAGCAGGCAGGGACATCTATTGCTTCTCCTTCCCACCACCACCTGTGTTGGACCAGAGCGGGGAGAGGCAAAGGAACAGGCAGGTTGCCTTGATGAAAAAGAGGATAACTCTTTCCAATGGGCAGCATCCAGCTAATCCTATCCTTAACACCCAGTATCCAATTGTGTGGAATTACAACTTTCCTTACTCCCATGAGGATGACATGACTTGTAGTACAATATTTGGAGGGCACCACATTTGAGAAAGCTGGTGTATAGATTCCAGGCTTGGTTTAATGTTCATTTCCATTAAAGAATGGGGTTGGGGGAAGACTTTCAAATAGAGCAAGATGTTAGCTATCCTGTATCTTCTTTAAAATCAGTCTTACCAATTTCCAATGTGCAGTCATTAAAGGACAGATTGCTTGCTTTTCACATTAGGCCCTCCTAGTCAAGAAAAGGGTAAAATAACATTTACCCACAATATTGTCTTTCAGGACAATTTGACACAACAAGAGGATGTTGCCTAGTTACAAGTTAGGAAGTGGAAAAAGCTGCCAAACTTAGAAATGGGGACTGTCAGATCTTTGTGCTGTCATCACATATGATGAGCTGCCAGGACTGCACAGTCTAGTGTGATGTATCTTTGGCTTCCTGGGCAATTCCACCCATCCAGGAAACCCAATGGCTCCACTTGACCTGCAAGAACTATAGAAGGTTCTAGGTCAGGTTAGGGCTTCACCAGGGCAACAGTAGTCTCCATGGTGCTTGTTGGGCTGTAAAACATAGTTTCAGACTTCTTGCTTTCAGCTCTTTACCTGAAAACCCAACAAAATGACATGGCAGATCTCTACTGTCAGACCTAAAAAATGACATTATTGAGTTGGAAAAAGTACAGAGAAGGGCAACTAAAATGATCAAGAGGCTGGAACAACTCCCTTAAGAGGAGTGGCTATTACAACTGGGTCTGTTCAGATTAGAAAAAAGGGAGAGTAAGGGGTGACATGATGGAGGTGATTAAAATAATGCTTAGTGTGGAGAACATGGACAGTGAGAGATTTTTTTTCTCTTTCCCATAACTCTAAAACCTAGGGTCATCCCAGGAAAATGATTGGTGGAAGGTTTAGGATGGGAAAAGGAAAGACCTTTACACAATGTACAGTTAAACATCAGAATTCTCTGCCATAGAAAGTGGTGATGGCTATCAATTTGGATGGCTTTAAAAGGGAATTGGATAGATTCATGAGGGAGGAGGCTATCAGTGGCTACTAGCCTTGCTGTGCTTCCTTCTTAACCAGAGGTGATATGCCTACATACACCAGCTGCTGAGGAGCTTGGACAGGCAGAAGTCTTGGACCCATCCTGCTTGAATGATCCTGTGTGCACCTGGTTTGCCACTGTGTGTACAGAGTGCTGGACTAGATGGACCCTTGGTCTGACGCAGCATGGCTTTCCTTACATTTTTATGCTCACTGTGCGTATTTGATAAAGTTGAGAAACCTCCTCCCAGGCACCACTGTCTCACATTGTCTGGCTCCTACACTTCCATGGATATTGAAAATGTATGATGAAGCCCTATGCCCTTGTAACATCTCATAGCAACCTTTTCTATAACTTAATTGGATTAGGAAGTAGAAAAAGCTGACAATAACTCTTAGGGGAGAGCTGCTCTGAGCCACTTTTTCAAACTGGATTCCAGTATTTTTTTAACAGTGCTTTATATGAAAAGTATTTTATTTCAATAAGGATTGTGGTTTGCTTTTTGTAATGACATATCCTCATTTAAGTACATGTTACATCGTAAATATGTTCAAAATTGACATTAAATCAGAGAAGATCCTGATGGGCCACCTTTAGAAAAAGTGAGCAAATATTTCAAACCTTTAGCATGAAGCATTGTCAAGTAATTAATAAGTAAAATTGCAAAGGCTTTACAGTGGCATTACTGCAGGCTCATGTGACCTCCTATACAAAGATACTGACATACATTCAGGCAGCTGGTGAGGCATTATGCTTTCATGGAAGCTCCAAATCTCAGGTCTGTTATACAGTGTCACATTCTCACAAGCCTGGAGCAAACCTCTATTACCCACGCTCAATACCTTATGACACAGATCTTCAGTAATGCTCTTTTGAAACTGATTCCATGAATGCACACAAGTCGGAACCTTAGTCTACTTTTAGTTATATGAATCATAAATCTGCATAAACTTAGCCAGTGCTGTTTTTTGTGGGCAGAACTATGTATCTTGCTCAATACTTAGATGTGTGAGAGAATTTTAAATCTGGAACCTGAAACTGTGACATGAGCCTCACAGGCAGATATTCTAAGGAGCAAGTAATCCTTTCCTTTTCTCCTTAGTGTCTGAAATTTTTGTTACCCTCCTTAGGGGAAGATGCAAAGAAGAACATCCCATCATAGTAGTTCTTTAAGGCATAAAGCTGCTTGAGTTTAGATGGATGAAACTTTGAATCACTCATGTTGATTATATGGATTGCTCAGTTAGTATCAGTTAGTATCTTTCTGTAGCCTTCCTGTAGTGGTGACTGACTGTTTCTTTAAATCACAACTACAATGTATTACAAGGAGAAAAATCTGGTTCCACTATTGCCATATTCAGGCATGTAACTCCTGCATAAAGCAGGGGCTGAGTGAATAGATTCTCCCTTGCCATCACAGACCTGTTTCCTGCCATCTGTAGGTACAGTGTGAACTGGACTCCTAATACTACAGGGTTCAAGGTTGTGGGAAAGCCTTTGCATGTACAGCAGTACACTGTAGACGTTTGAACTGTATGTGTGGATGCTGAGAGAGAGGCTATTTGGCCTGTGCAACATCAGGACATCAGGCTATTTGGCATATCCCTACTCCATGGGGCTGTATGCAGCAGATGTAATGCCCTAATAGGGCACATATCATTAAGTAGTGGTATTATCCGTGTTGTCTTTATTGAAAAGGACTTGTTATTAATTATACTCTCCCACTCTAGGTACAGACAAGTTTACAGCATATGATTTGTAAAATATACAGAGCATAAGCTTATGGAAAATATAGCTAAATTAATATAAACACTATTCAGTAGAAAGGGTATAAAACTGACTTTTTTGATTAACAAAGTGTCTTCTAGCTTAGGAACGCAATGGTCCCTACCAACTTTTCAATGCCATGGCTGGACAGTATCCAAGTTATAAATGCATCACCTTTTAAATGCAAAAGATCACATTATTCTAGTAAAATACAAGCATAATGTTACCTGGTTGGTAGAAACCTGGGGAAAGTTCTCTGGCAACTGCTCTAGCAACATCGCATTCTTGACGAGCAGACTGGGCAGCTTGATCTGCAGCATCGGCTTTTGCTCTTGCATGTGCAGTTCTGCAGAGGACATTATAAAGTGTCTATAAGCACAGGGATTTAAAAAAAATCAAAGTAATATCAAAATTCCTGCTTCTGGGAAAGAAGTTATACACATTTTTATGTATTGATCTCTAGTGGTGTTAAATAGCTTTTGAAACTATTAGCATCAGAAGCAAGGGAATTCTATCATTTCCTGAGGAAAGTCAGTAATGCTTAGGGATTTTTAGTGCAGAAAAAGTGATCAAGAGAGAAATGAAGAGATTTCACAAATCATGGTGGTTCTATGTGATCTACAGATTCTTTATGCCTCTGAATACCATTTGCTAGGAATCAATAATGGAAGAACATTATTGACCTCAAGCCCCGTATCTGGGCTCCCAAAGGCATATGGTTGGCCACCATGTGGATTGGATCTGGAACTACATGGACATTTCATCTGATCCTGAAGAGCTCTTCTTATGATTGTACACAAATACACAGGACATCTGGAAAAACAATCATGAATGCTTTCTTGATGTATTAACTCTGAAACCACAATGGTAAGAAATATATCTGTTTGTCAATCTGTAAGCCACCCGACTAAACCCATTCGTGCCATATTGACAATCCTTTGGGTTTACTTGCCTAGAAGGCCACAAATCCAACTCTGTGAACTGCAAGTTGCACAGGTCATAAGGGGGTACAGAACTTCCAGCCCACAGGCCACTTCAGTCTAGCCCACACCATTACTTGGAGTACCTTGCCTGGGCCCAGCTTGCTTGCACTGGGGATAGCAAATGCTGTTGTGCAGGTGAGTTCCAAAGCCCTTTGTCCCTCTGCATTCTCTAGTTCGATATCAGAGACAGCAGAGAGGATGGGTGTAGCAGAACCCACCTATGTGCATGCCTCTATGTGAAAATTCTTCCCTATGCATGGACAAGTTCCAGTCTTCACCACATCTCATGCCCACCACTATCCCTGACCAGATAGCATGTCTTCATATATACGAGAATATGATAAATCCACCTATAGCTATTGACAAGGATCTCTCAATGAAATATTGACTCACATAGCAGAGAGTCAACTTTTGCAATAAAGATCCAAACTGATGGAAATTGCACCTTACAGTATTTAAGCTTCTTCAGATTCATCCACTGAAAGCTACAGAAATGCAAATGAAATAGCTCTGTAAAGTATGATTAGATTTTTAAAACCCCTTCAAAATATATTTCACTTATTATCTCATGTTTAAACTGGATATATGCATTATCTTTGGTAGTGTCTTATCTCTGGAGTTCATTAATCCAATTATTTCTTTAATTTAACCTCTTGTACTGAAGTACCCAAGACACATCTATTTTCCCAGGCCGGTCCTCCAATTTGCTGCAATGTTAACTTTTTGTTTCTCTTCTTCCATTGTTTTTTCTTATCATCTCTTCCTTCTGTTTCATCATGTGTCTGTTTATTTAGATTGTAGCCCTGCCAGCAGGGTTTTGTTTTTGTTTTTTCCCTTTTTTGTCATTGTCAGTGTTACACACTTACACTGCAATTTTTAAGGAGATACCTAAGAAATTAGTGCAGTTGTGTGGGGAGGCATGCAAAGATCTGCAGGGAGGAAGGTGAGTTGCTGAAGATTCCCCCACCTCAACGTTCCACTGATGGAAGCCTTCTATCATGTATTAAAACAATAGAAAAATATATGGAGAATTGAAAATGATATGGAGTTGTTAAATAAGGTGCTCAGTCAGAAATCTGAACTGATAAGCAGCACTATGTAAACAGAAAAGTTAGTACAATGCTGCCAGTGAAACCTGGGGAACGTTCATGCATTTATGGAGCTATTAAAAGCTGTGTAAACAAATCCTTATCTAAAACCATAGCGTATACTGAAAAAGCACCTTGTTAGTCTGAAGTAGGATGATTATTTGGGGCAGTCGCGAGCATCAATTGCTGCCGGCAGGTATGAGAGTCTTATAAGGAAATCTGGGTAGAATCTTGAGAAAATTAAAGCTCTGGCCACCACCTGGTAACAGCAAGTGCTACAGTAATAAACAGAATCAGGGGTTTGTTTTGTTTTTTAATGCTCACTCTTACCATAAAGCCTTGCAGAACATCAGTACATGCTACCAGTGGCACAGCTTTTGCCAACAGCAACTATAAGGGAAGTTCAAGACTGCAGGATCTTGTTATTCTGTAGCAATAAATACATTTTGTAAAATGCCCTAACTAGCATATTGGAGATATACCTATAACCAGCCATTTGTGACTTCTATTGAAAATCTCTGTTTGCCCTCCCTGTTTTATGCTCCTTCATACATAAGACAGAAGTTACCTTTTTATTATCTTCCGCAGAAAAGGTTTGGAATTTCCCACCCCCTTGACCGTACATTGCACACTGGACCCGCACATCAGCATTACCTATGGGAATTCAGCAGCCCCCAAAGAGAACACAGCTTGCAGAGAACAACACCCCTTGCTGCTCTGCATAACCACACCTCTGCCACTGTGAGTGACTGGCCGGCCCATCACTCAAGCTCAAGAATCACTTTGGAGTGGCTACCAATAGTTTATCCCCATTTTCTTTTTATTTCCCCCTACCCTAAGACTGCACAACTGTGATCATCATTATCACCACATCATCTGTCTTTTGCAAATGCACTCTTACAGCTGTATGATACATGTAGTTTTGTCTGATCAATTTTCTTGTATGTTTCAAGGAAGCAGCCAAGTGAGTAGGTAACATGCATGGACACAGACTGACTCAGCAAGACTGAATTTGGGCTGATCTGCGCATAGTTGCCAGGGACCGGTTGCCTAGCTGTCATTTGGAAAGATGCACCAAAATAGATTAGTAGTGAAAAAATATCAACTTTCATATAATCCTCTTGATTTTAAATGTTTAAGTGAGAATTCTTGGTGTCGTTCCCCTTTTCAACATTTTCCTGAAAGAAAAGGGGCAATGTTCAGAGTAGGAGGGAAAGACTTGATGGGTCCTGCTTGGAAGGACATTAGGAAACTGGCTGGGGGACTGCAAGGCAAGGAGGAAGAGCCCTATTGTCCAACCCACACTATATAGCTTAATCATAAGGTGGTTTTGTGTGTTATGAAGATCCACCCCATATAAACCAATCCATAAAACTCAACACTGATTATTGAAAAAGGGAGCGAAGATTGTTAGGCAGAGAAGCAGGACAACATAAAGGTGGGCATTTGTTTACAAGATACTATATTAATTTTATCCAATTTACATTTAACATAAAATATTAAGCACTGTGTACCACATTGATGAGTGCTATAAACAGCTGCACATCATTTCAATAAAAAGACGGATCAAGATCCAAAACCTTATTTAACCTTGTATACATTTCCTCTCATGCCAATTCTAAGTATGCTCTTGGTTCATAGGTCAAATCACAATAAGAAAAGAAACTGCATGGACATAGAAGTAATAAAGTAGAAGGTAGAAAGATGTATATCTGAAATACATGCATGCATTCCGAGAGTACACCATTTATCAACTTCCAGGTGAATCCATGTGAATAATATAACTGAGGAAAGGTCTAAAAATGGGATCCTGCTCTATGAAAATAACTATGCTTGGAATGGAGAATCCTACAAATTGTGAGTTCTATATCACAAGTGACCCTATGCACAGAAACTAGACGTCCCTCTGCAGACCTTTCCCACAACACAGTCAAGGGTTAGACAGAGATGCAATGAAGGGCATGAATCCAATGAGTATAGTGATGCTCGCAGCTTCATTGGGCATTGGAAAATGTCTTAGAATATGTGTCTGTGTGCATACAGCTCCATTAATACAAGCTTTCAAATAAGATTTTACCAGAATCTATACACTTTATTCTTTTTTACATTTCATAAATCTTAGTAATACTTTTTCAATCAGTAATTAAAACATATTGCAGCACACACTTTTTCTATCATCATTTAATTCCACAGTCAGTATAAATAACTAAACAGATGCAAAGCTACTTATACAAAGAAGTCTCTCAAAATTCACCAACACCCTCCTTCCCTGTGAGAAAGATAATGATTCCTGTCCCTATTGTATTGCACAAACATGAGTTCCTCTTCTCCTATCTGCATAGGACATTGTCTAAGTACATGCACTTTTTCACCATATTTCCCAAAGGTTAAAATATGCTTATGCATTCATGCCAAGGTAGCCAAACAGCATTTGCATGAAGCGTCCCTTTTTCCTTTCCCTGTTAGCATCACTTAAGCCAAACAAGTATCCCATTGCATGTGACCTCAGCAGCAAGGGAAGACTTTTATACAGAAGTCACAGAGAAAACACACATACAATGATCATTTTTCATTTACATCATCCAAGAGTCCCGGTTCTCCTTTTCTTTCATTCTTCCCGTTCCCTTCTATCAGTCGACTTATTTATTCCATTCAACACATGCTCACTGCCAAGGCCCAGCATATTATCAGTTCCGCACTTTCTCTGTGACCAGCTGTTTACCCTGTGCTAAGGCCCCTGCCTTCTCCTTGGCTTTCTTCCTCTACGGCATCCCATAGCACATAGCTTCCACCCATTCTTGCTGACATTTGGTTTGTCACTCTCTGCCAAGTAAGCAGATAGTGGCATTTGATATTCAATTTGATTTTTCCATTCCTTGCCAGAGCCTTAGACTCGAAGACTTCCTTTCTTCCTTCCCATTTCCAGCCTCAAGTAAATCTGCTACGCACAGGTTATAATTCTTTTGTAGACTCATTCTGTCTGTACATTGATCCTAGAGTTGCTCTGAACCTTCAGGATTTCCTACTCAGACATCACAGTTGAATGAAACCTGTCTGCTAACCCCACAGAAGTGAAATTTGCCATGTGTACATATGAAGTATATAAACATTTGGAAGTTATTTATTATTATTAATTTGGAGCATTTTATCCTGTTCTATACAAAAATCTTAGGATTATGATAAAAAACACCATCCCTACCCACTATGGGATTTATTTATCTTCTTTAAAATAGTTGTACCTTGTTGTCTTTCCTCATATACTTTAGGATGGTTTA